TCTGAAGGCTTCCGGCACCATCAACCTGCATGGCTCATTCAACCCTCTCAACATCTTCCCTTTGCTGAGCTACGTGCACGCAGGAGCGAAGGAAGTAAAGTACAAGTCCTAAGACAAAACTTTCCCCGCAGGACGTACGAGGGCCCTTGCTGCAAAGTCACGGCCCTTCAGGACGTCAGCAACCTGGTGCTGCGAGCTCTGGCTGTCCCCACCCAAAAGGACAGAGGGAGGGAAGGAGGGCAGGAGCACAGACTGGTTTTGCCCGGCGAAGCTCCCAGCAGTGGAAAGGCTGAGAGGCAAGGAGGCTACGTGGTGACCATGACCCCAGCCCTTTGCCCAGCGTCCCCTGGTGCAGGGTCCCTGCTCGTGCACCTCCTCTCTGTTCGGGAAGGGCCTCCCTCCTACGAGGGTTGGCAGCGTCGCTCAGCTGGTGCCAGGGCTCTTCAGTAGCCTGTGCCCACGTCGGCTTCCCTGGTGATGTGCCTCCCGCTCACTCTCAAGCCGTCCTGACTCGGGCCACAGCGGAGTGACGCGGGCAGCACCGTATCACAGACTTCTCCAGGCGAAACGCGCTCCCCTGCCGTCGGTCATGCCCCCCTGTGTGTGTGACCAGATGTCAGCGTCCCCCCCTCCCCCGACCCCGCTAATCGCCTTCCTGTAACTGTCCTCCAATTTGCCTTTCCTTCTGGTGCCCCCGCGCCCCACTCTGAAGTGAGCACAATGCCTGAGGTGTAGGGAGCAGTGCAGGCTTCCTACTCCCTTGATCTAAGCTCTGAACCCCTCGTAACGCAGCCTCAGATCCCATTAGCTTTTTATGAACTGTCGTATCATCCTGTTGACCTATATTGAATAAGATCCCCCAGGCACCTGCCTCGCGATTCTACAAAGCTGCTTCGCCCCATCCTGACCTCGCGCTCTGGTTATATGAACCGACGTGTGGGGCACTGCATTCATCCACTCTCCGTGGCGCACGGGGTTCTGTGGTCCTAGGTGGTTGCTCTGTCTTCCCCGCTAGGTCCGGCCTCCTCCAGAGCAGCAGCCGTGTCCTGTGCGTGTCTGAAATGACAGACCGGCCATAAAACGTTAGGGGCTTGGTTGCAGCCATTGAGGAACGGGAGAGAAGAGACAGAATGGGGACAAGAAGAAGGGACATCAGGCAGGGCTGCAAAGGCGGGAGGAGGTGGGGGGTTGCGGAAGGAATGGAGGAGGGAATGCAGGGAAGGTGTCACACCTGGCCGGGCACGGGAAGGTCTGAGGCATGATGGGAGGAAGCCACGGTGACAGGGGACCTGCCGAAACAGGCTGAGGGCGTCAGGCAGGCTCAGGACCATCAGGCAGAGGTGTCCCCTGAAGTGTCTGGACAGCAGAGCTAGGCAGGGGAGGGGTACAGAGAGCACATGACACGAAGGGGAGGGGTGCTCTGGGCAGCACTGTGGTTCAAGGTGGTGCTGTCTGGTCTGTTCCCTCTCCTGGGAAGGCACCAAGCCTTCTCTCTGATGTAGAGGACATTGGGGGGGTCTCTGGGCTGCAAAAGCAGAGGTTTAACCCCAGGAGCCTGGGCTGGGTACCCCCCTCTGTGGGGGCCATGCAATGAAAAGCTACAGAGAGCCCAGGAGCTGGGGAGACTGAGGCCAGGGCTGGGCAAAGAGGGGAAGAAAAAGGACTGGAGAGGTAGATAAGATGGTCTGTGTAAAGCCATCAACGCAGTGCCTAGCGCTCAGCAATTCCCCGTTAAGTGGTGACAGTGGGGGTGGTGACAGTGCCGGTGACCATGGCAGTGGGTAGAAGGAGGGAAACCAGGAAAAGGAAGCAGAAAGGAAATAAGCTGGGGTCTCCTGAGAGCCTGTCAGGTGCTCCCAGCACTGGCTAGCTGCCTTCACCTCCTTTATTTCCATTGCCCGGCAATTTTAGGAGATGGATAGACTTACCTTCATTCTGCAGATGGGGAAGCCAAGGCATGAAGGGTGAAGCCATCGCCCAGCTAAAAATGGGCAGCACAGGAGTCAGGGTCTATGTGATTCTAAAGCTCCTGCCTGCCGGTGAGGGGGAGAGACACAGAAGCGGTGGCATGAACAGCCCCAGGGAACTACACGGCTGGACACAGAATACCCAGATATGGGCTCTGGCCCTGGGGAGCTCCCAAGGGGGCAAAAGGGAGGCAAGAGGTGGTCGGGACCAGGATCCCATCAAATGCAGACCGTGCCACAGTAGACGGTACACAGCATCCTGGGAGCACAGGGGAGATGGTGGGGGGAGGACTTCCTGGAGGAGGTAACGTTTGAGCCGAGCCCGATGTGACGAGCAATCCATTTTTCCAGAAGATGGGGGCAGATTTGGCTTAAAGCGGGACTTGAAAATTGGCAACTCTCTGGCAATTTTTTCTGCCCTCTGCCCCGCCCCTAATTCGCCCACCTTCCCCAGCGGGGTCCAAGTCAACAGTAGACCGCAGGGCTGCTCCAAAGGTACCCACCTTCCTCGGTCTTTGTTCGCCCTTCTATCCAAGAAACCTTCAGATTCCATCATCTCTGCCGGAGGACATTCAGTCTCTGGCCAGGAAAAGGGCTGCCTTAGCCAAGCCAGCTGCTGGCAAAAGGCCTCCCCCAGAGGACGGAGGGGTTCCTAGCCTGGAGGGAAGGCATACATCGATCGGCAGAGCACAAGAGGAAATAGAATAGTATCTCACCCAAACCAGTTACGTAATTTTTAAAAGGCTGCTCTCAAATAGGAAGAGCATTTATCTATTATGACCATTTTCCATTTTTAGTGGTAATTGAAGTTTTTCATCGGCGGCTCATGCTAAAAGCACCAACACATTGTGATCTTCCCCGCCCGTTCGAATGCAATTAGAGAATTTAATCAAACTCCACAGCAAAAGCAGTGCCAGCCAGGCTATTTTTGAATTTTTCCATCTAGAATCATTTGAGGACTTTTTAATTGTTAGCTGGGTTTATTTATTGAGCTCGGGCTTAAAAGAAAAATAAACAGCAAGGAGGCGAGAAGTGGCTGGAATTGCAAGAGGAACCCAATCCGTGCGATTTTAATCAAGTCTGTCCTTGTTCGCTCCGGTGGTTTTCCTAAATCCCAATGAATTCAACTTCCAACCGGGTCTCTAAACATCACAGTATTTACATCTTTCATCTATTATGATATTTCAAATAAGATTGTTATAAAATTGCCCCAACTTTGGGCAACTGTAGATCATAAAATAGGAAACATTATTGCATTAAAGGAGAGGAACTGTATCTCATTTAAAACACATAAGCACATAATTTCATAGATGTATATCTGTAGCTGGATATATATCTATGAACAATGAAATTGCCCCCAAATTAAAAGCCTTCTGGCTATATATTTGTAAACACAATCAGATCGCAATCCAATAAAGGGGCCCTTTTGAATTAATGTGTGTCACATGGTCTTCCTATCATTGCATTTGTAACTTTCCTTTTGAACAGCTCACTGCCTCCTCTTTGTTTCCGTAAAAAGGCAGGAGTTTGTGTGTGGCTTCTTGTTTTCTTTGGCTGATGGTACACGTAACCCTTCCTGTTTTTAAGGCAAGAAAATTGGATCATAATCGTGGAAAAGACCAAAAGAAAGAAAGTCACCCTTTTATACCTGCACTGAGGGAGAATCGCCAGCTAATTTCTCATAACTCCTGGCATATAACACTTTGCATTTTAAAAAGAAACTGTCACCTCACTCATTTTTATGATTCTGATAATGAGAATGGGACTTACATTGTTAACCAGGAAAGTGAAGTGATTTTATATGCGCATTAAAAGGGAGAGACTATTCCTTTAATTTAGCTCATTTAAAACAAAACTTTCCAAGTGACAACCTTTTAGCTGTAATTCACCCATCCTTTGCAGTTCAGTTCTCGTGGGAAAGTCATTCCTGAGACACAGGGTTCAAAAATGAGTGAGTCTTCCTCTTTCACAAACGAAGTCGCCTCCGGGGGGGACCGAAATGTTGTGTGAGTTTATTGCAAGGCATCCCAGAGAGTTCGATGGAAGGAAGCTACGCTGAGAGCCAGGAGATCCAGTCACGACCTCTGCTCCGACACATGTGGTGTTTCCAAATGCCTAAGGGCCACACCACCTCAGGCGTCCGAAATCCAACTCAATAAGGCAAAAAGAGGACTCATTGTCTCGTGTGTCACCAAAATCTGCGGTGAGTAGATTCAGGCATGGCTGGATCCAGGAGCTTCAGCGAAGCAATGGGAACACAGTCTATCTCCAGCTCTCGGCTCTTTTTCCCCTGTGTTGGCTTTATTCTTGGGATTCCTGGGGCGGTTCTTAGCAGGTCGAGGCTTCAGTCATCCTTGCTGCTGTTATACTCAAAGAAGATCAGGTCCCTCTTTGCACCGGAAAAAAAGCCCCAGTGCTCACTCCCATGGACCATCTAGGGTCATAATTCATCCCAGAAATAATCATCAGGGTGCTACAGCAATGGGATGCACAGTGAGCCCGTGTGCAGGTCACGTGCGCAATCTTGGACTAGTGGAATGAAGTCAATCCCGCCCAAATGATATGGATGCAGAGAGGGTCTGTGACACATCCTCAGACGTGGCAGGGCTCCCGAAAGGGACAAACCACTAACTTCGGAAATACATTCTGAAGTCCATGCCTAACGTCCTGGTCCCCACACATTCACCTACAAACCAGGATCTTGGTTCAGATTTCCGGCTGGAAGGTTAAACTCCTTTGCAAGTCATTTGAACCTCTGTTTTCCTCATCTGTAAATTAGGTGCGGCACCACCTCTCCCACGGATCGTTCTTGAGGTCGTGCATGTGAAGGTATTTACCAGAATGCAAATAAACAGTGTTCTTTAAATTGCATTTATTTTTTTTAATAAATCACTCTAACGTTTATTTATTTTTGAGACAGAGAGAGACAGAGCGTGAACAGGGGAGGGTCAGAGAGAGGGAGGCACAGAATCCAAAGCAGGCTCCAAGAGCTGAGCTGTCAGCACAGAGCCTGACGCAGGGCTTGAACTCACGGACCGTGAGATCGTGACCTGAGCCGAAGTCGGACGCTCCACCGACTGAGCCACCCAGGGGCCCCTTTAAATTGTGTTTAAATTGCACATTGTCATTACAGGATACTATGGGAAGTGACTCAGTAGAGGACACCAAATCAGTGTCTAAATGAGTCACGATAGATGCGTTTATTGTAATCATACCTGCCTCCATGTCTGAAAATCTCCAAGGAAAGGGGTCCCAGGGTTTGTGCACTTGTCCTTTACTGTGATGTATGGGCTCCGTCCCCGTTAGATTCAACCTGAATTGTAAAGCACTTCAGATATTCTTGGGGAAATCTGGTGGGATGGGTAAAGTCAATTTACAGCCATGATTAGCATCTGAGTCCAGAGAATGGGTGGCCAGATAGGCAACTCCCAATTTTAGAAATTAGCTTTGCTTTTTCTTCCACTGTGATGGCTTCATTTTTTGGTGGGGAATATAGGCTTTATTCAGTGAATACACTTCACATATGAGCATTGTGAAAATACTCCAGCAACACCAAAAAAAGCGCGAAAGAGCCAGCGGGGAAAAAATTATCCAAAATTCCACTACTCAAGTGGCCGTGGTCATCAATATTTGGTAAACGTCATCCCAGACATTATTCTCTTTAGAGAGAGAGAGATAAAAGGACAGGTGAAAAAATAAAAGATAGATAAGGGGATAAAAATAGGAACATGTTATGCACACTATCTTTAATATTTATAAGTACTAAATTCTCTTTGATTTGAATTTAACAGAAGGAAAAAGAAGTTAAAGTAAAATGGGAAGACTTATTTCAGCTACCTGGAATACGGTCTCCTTGCTAAAAGATCCCTTTAAATTACGAAAAGAGATTACAGCACCCATTGATTTGCAGTCATCTTTAAGTTACATTTTAATTTTAGACTATTAACTCCCTGCTATGAAGGAAGAGGAAATTAACACCGTATACTTCCCCCCCCCCTCAGTTTTGTACCCGTTGTCTCGCTTTCTACTATTTACATTTTGTTCCGTGAGCAAAATTTCAGTTGGTCCGTCTTAATCCTTTACTGAACGGCAATGTTCCCTGCCTAACCATGATGTCATTATTCCTACATTACTTATTTTAGGGTGTCTTTACGTTGTCTCAATTTAAGGCACAAAATCAATCGGGGGGTTCTTTTGGGGAACGGAGCTGTGTTTATTTCCCCCCAGAGTCTTAGAGGCACTGCACTCTGCAAGTGTGTGTGTGTTTGTCAATATTTCCAAAACCTTTACATCTGAAGGACAAATATAACTTGGCTTAAAATTCACAGAGCACGCCTCTTAATCCTACCTTCACCACTTGGTAGATATTCATTTCCCAGCACTGACTTCAGCTGTGGAAAATTCTAGAATATGCCTTTATGCCTTGAAATTTGCATGTTCTCCTAGAAGCCAATAGGGCTCCTTTCTTACTCATGAACTTCAGGATTTTCACGGCAGCGTTCATTGGTGCTGCTCATTCCATTCACATTTTCCTTCTGAGAGGCCCATTACTTATTTCGGTAAAGTTTTCTTCAATTATATCATTTAACATTTTTCTGTGTCGCCTGTTCTGTGGCCTCTTCCTAATGAGAGACAAGGTTAAGCATGTGTCGTATTTCTCTTCTCTGTTTATGTACCATGAAGATATATCCTGAAGATACAACCATTTAATATCCTTATGCTTTGAAAGTGGACGGTGTTTTGGTGGACACAATAATTAGGGGGGCTTAACTGGCATTTGGGGGATGAGGGTTAAAAATCTCAACATCTTTCAACACACAGAGACTTGTCCCATGACTAATGTCCCGCTCAAAATGCCAATAGGGCTCTGTTAGAATTAATGTCTTGGATGATGCTTTCTGCAATGATGATTCTAATTTTTAAAGACTCTAACGAGACTTCAATTTGTGTTGCATTTTTCTTTTCCACAGCAGGTTTTCTTCTGGAGTTCCGCTCACTTTTTATCCTTTCATGTTGTTTTAAAATTTCCCCTTTGGGCTCTGCCTTCAAAAATCATACTTTCGATCATATTAATATTTGTACGTTTATTGATTTGTCATTATTTTTATTAATAGTAGGTGTCTAAATTTTGCCACTATTTTCTTTGGACAACTAATGCTATATAGTCCTTTTATCTGCCTTTTGGTGGGGAAATTCTTTTCCTCGATGTTTATGGTTCTTTTATTTTTTTCCAGTATGATAGGTCACAGGCCGGTTCCTCTACGTACCTTTTTGGATTGGATGGAGCTCATCATGTGCTGACCTGGGCCAAGGGGAGAGAGTAATGAACTGGGACATCACATGGACACAGACTGCTGTGCAGAACTCCTCTGTTCTTCCACGTGATTTTGTTTACCCTGAGGTAGGTCTCTACCTCATATCTGGTCTTTACCCTGCCAGGAAAGAGGCTTTCCTTTACCATGGGAGGCCTCTGCATTTGATCTGGAATTTCCTGCCTTTCTGTGTTCCTCCACATTGCGTTAAACCCACACTTTCCTAAACAAGGAGCTTTGGTCCGGGGCACCAAAAATAGCATGCTGGTTTGGGCTCTTCTGTACCCCTCCCCCACCCATCACTCCACAATGCCCAACCAAGTCTGCATGGGGACATCACCTGCCCATGCCCTAGATGGTACTGTGATAATCAGTGGGCCATTGGATATACCTTTTACCCCTGGGTCACTTACTCAGGGACATATGCATCCTGCTCAAGGTCCAAGGAGGTGGATGCCAGCTCTGGACCCCCTCCTGGTGTCCTGCCCTTCACAGGTTTTGGAAGATACACGTTATGTCCCATGGCTTGGGGCTGAGACTTTTCCTTGTTTTTAAGGAAGTGAAAAGTTGTTTCATTTTATCCTTTGTTGTCTGGGATACGTCTCCAGGGACAGTAATAGAGAAAAATGTCCTACACCAGCTTTGTTAAAAGCCTGGCTTGAGTCCTGTGTAGAAAAAGAAGGGTTCCCGGTTTCAAAGGGTCTTTGTGATCTTAGATCCGTTTTCCCAGATGCATGACCTCAATCCTCAGTTTCTTCACTTTATCTCAGATTTATCTGTAAAATAGGAACAGTCACTCTTCCTAAACCTCACCGAGTTGTTCTAAGAAGGAAATAAATGAATTCATGGAAAGGGCTCAGCACAGGGGTGCCTGGGTGGCGCAGTCGGTTAAGCGTCCGACTTCAGCCAGGTCACGATCTCGCGGTCCGTGAGTTCGAGCCCCGCGTCAGGCTCTGGGCTGATGGCTCGGAGCCTGGAGCCTGTTTCCGATTCTGTGTCTCCCTCTCTCTCTGCCCCTCGCCCGTTCATGCTCTGTCTCTCTCTGTCCCAAAAATAAATAAACATTGGAAAGGGCTCAGCACAGCCCGTGACGGCCAGCAAGTACTCGGCAATATCTCCTACTATCGTTACGATTATCCTCACCACAAGTCCACTATCACTGTCAATGTCACCGTCCTCCTGTGGCCGATGTGCAAACCCAGATTCAGGTTAAGTGACCGTCCCAAGCTTTCACAGAAAATACGAGGCAAGCTAGCTTTCAAAACCCACACCTAGGCTCTACCAATTTCTTCAACCAACACTTTCAGATTCCCTAGAACTTTGAATCAAAATGTACCCATTTCATGGATGAGGGAAAGCAAAAGCTGAGCTGCCTGAGTGAGTCACAGACTCAGGACTGGAACACTGACCTTCCACAATCTGGCGCACAAGGAAAGAGGCAAATGCACTCGTTGATTTCTGCCCAGAATGTGACCTGACGGAGAGAGAGAGGAAAGGGGAAGGGACAGGAAGGAAAGTGGGTCCCACCCACCGGTGCGACCCCAGGCGAGTCCTTTCACGTGTCTGAGATCAAATGCCTCAAACAGTCTTGTAAAACAGAACTCACTCCTTTACCGCAGTTTTGTTTCAAAAAATTGGTATTCCATCAGTATGTGCCTCTGCAAGGTCATCTCCCCCTCTCAGATCTCTCTACCTATCTGTCTAAACATCGGGAGAATGTAAACAAAACATACGCCTGTGTATTTGTCCGCGTGGCAAGGATACAGGCGATTTTAATTTTCTCTACGCCTTTCTAAATTTTCAAACTTTCCCGTAAAGAAAAGAACATGTGTTATTTCTATTACCAAGGAAAACGCAAGTCTTACAAAAACATGGATTCTGCAGGGTTGGTGTAGGGTGACTGAGACAATGAGGGAACGCGAGGGTGACAGGGTTCTGCAGACACGGGTTCGTTTCCCTCGCGCTGGCCTGTGACCCCAGCGCGCTCCTGCCTTCTGCCCGTTTCCGCACCAGCCGACCGGGACCGTGTGGATTCCTGCTCGGCCTGAGGGTTGAACGGGATTCCTCGCTTAAATGTCTCACACGAGGCCAGGCACACGGTCCGCCCGGGCCGGGCCCAATGCCAGCTCCTTTGCCTTCGCCGAAAATTCCAGCTGGATCATCTTCGGGGACGCGCGGGCCAAAACTGCGGCCAAGAATTCCTGAACAATACTGTTTATTTATACAGTAGGAAGATTGAAATCGTTATGCCTTGACTGGCAGGAGCTATTTATAGGCCCTGTTCGCAGCGAGCTGTTGGGAGCAGGGCACTCCTCGACAAATTTACCAACCCCCCCGGCCTGGCCGTAAAACTGCACGGGGATCTGTGTGGGCCTTGGTCTCCCGACCACATGAAAGCGGAATCCCTTCCCGATTCCATTAAGCTCAAATCATTGCCTGCAGTAAACAGAGCATGAGAGGGCAGGGGCCTGCAAACCTTCCAAAACGGAGGGGGCGGAGCCAAGCCGAGGGAGCCAACGCCAAGGGCCTTCCGCTCAGCGCCACGTGTGGAGTCCAAAGGGGGGCAGCCGTGGCTTCCATCGGCGCCCCGGATCCCGACGAGGCCCGGCTCTCTGTGAGCCCTTCAGCGTCGGCCCCGGGGGGTTGACGGAGCACAGCCCTGGAGGGAACACCGTGGGTGTGAACGGATACGGATACGATTGGGGCGGCCAGAGGCAGCGAAAGGGCCCGCGGGCTGGAGGAGTCGGGGAGGGCGCAGGTGGAAAGGCTGGAACCGGGAGCTGCTCGGTCAGAGCGGGAGGACGGTGAACAGGCGCTGGGACCTCATCGCGGAACCCACCGGGGACACCGGCGCACGTTAGACGCTCGGTTGATGCTGCCTGGCCGGAGAGCGATATACTTTGGGCAAAGTTAGGGTGGAAGGGGGTCTCCGGAAGACAGGAAGTTGTAGCTTTATTTCTCTCCTCGAACTTGAGGTCTCCCCAGGGTGCCGAGCTGCACGAGGCCACACTGGGGCCAGAGCCGGGAGGGATCGGGGCCCACACAAGTCCCTGCTGCCTCCAGGCCAACTGAAGACTTTTCCGGAGTGCCCGCGAGGCCCCACGTGGAGCCTGTACTCTGCGAAAACCTCGGCCTATTTTTCAAAGTCAGGGCATTATGAAAAACCTGGACTGTTTCTTTGACTTTCTTCCTTTCTTCTTTCCTTTTCTTTTCTTTCTTTCTTTCTTTCTTTCTTTCTCTTTATTTTTTTTCTTTCTCTTTTTCTTTCTTTTTCTTTCTTTTCCTTTTCCTTTCTTTTTCTTCCTTTCTTTTCTTTCTTTTTCTCTTTCCTTTCTCTTTTTCCTTCCTTTCTTTTTCTTTCTTCCTTTCTTTTTCTTTCTTTTTCTTTTTCTCTTTCTTTCCCTCTTTTCCTTTTCTTTATTCTCCTTCTCTTTCTTTCTTCTCTTCCTTCCTCCTTCCTTCCTTCCTTCTTTATTTTATTCTTTTTTTTAACTGATCCTTAAGTTCAACATGCATTTGCATTCAAGGGAAACCCAGACCACATGTTTTTAATCCATCAACCCTTAAATCGTCAAATGTCGCAGGCCAATGGTGTGCAGGCCAGCAGGAACAGCAGAGCCTTTTAAAGACGTTCCTCTCTCTAGCAATCAGGAAGTAGCCTTGTTCCAAGAGGAAACCAGATTTCGACGCCAAAGGGGCTGCCGTCCTCAGCTCCAGGCTCAGCACCCTGGAAAGCCAGGCAGGCTCGGAACTCAGCACGAGTGTGATTGACATCGTGGAGCAGAAGGTATTTGGGGTCTGAGAGGCTGTCTTTTCTCCTGTCCCCACCCCCCACCCCCGTTCTGCTGAAGACCTGAAGGAGAAAGGCAGGAAAAGGGAGAGGAGGGTCCACTCCCCTAAGGAGACAGGACCAGTGAGTGGGGACCCCACTGGCAAATAAAGGCAAAGCAGATCCTCATTTCACATGTGTGACCTGTGGTAGGCCACGGGGCCACTCAGTCTTCGCGTCATCCTCAGGCAAGTGGAAACCAGTGTGGGCTCCAGAAGACCGTGGTAAGGAGACACTGTTCAATAGAAGGGAAATAAAATGAAATAAGGCGAAACAAAGAAAAGTGCGTGTAAATGCACATCAGGAAACACACCTGGCGAGACAGAACTCCATTCGCTTTTGCCTACACTCAGAGCCAAGTCTTGCCCGGGTAGTCACAGTACCTCTGTTCCACATACCCACCCACCCGCTCTCTGGCTCGCTGGCTGGGACATGGGCAGGGATTGCACAACCAGGCCTCCGCGGGGCGAACCGATAGAGACGGAAAGCCACCCGCGGCACAATAGAATCTGTCGTGTAACGACCATAACTGCCAGTATCCACAACCAGAGCTCCTCGCCAAGAAACAGTAACAACAGCCGATAATGGTCTGTCCCCATCCACCTCAGGTTCATCTTGTGGACCTCTCGCCTTGAGCCCCATTCTGTCATTTCCCCAGGGCAGAGGTCCGCTTGTGTACCACAATAACACATGGGCCCCCTACCACCCGTGGCCTGAGATAGACGGATCCCAGCTCCCGGTCTTGCCCGTGGACCCTTGCTGGGGAGAACCACGTTCAGTTAGAGTAGAGGTCTCCATGTGCACTATTCACGCGCCCCCCAGTCCACAGCCCCCTGTCCCCAGCAGCTGCAAAAGTCTGGGACAGCCTGTCCCTACTAAGTAACGTGCAGTCTGAAAATACTGACCCTGGAGTCAGACTATTTCGGTTTGATTCCCGGCTCTCATCTGAGCTGTGTGAGCTTGATCAGGTTACTTTGCATCTCTGTGCTTCAAAACCCACCCACCGTAAAACTGGATACCGATCGTCCCTACTTAATGATGGCTTTGAAAATTAAATTAGTTAGTGCATGCAAAGTGCGGAGAACAGTTCCCAGCAGCTAGTGCCCCCCAAGTGGGCTTGCTAGCATGGTCAACATCATTATGGGCTCAGAGTGACAAAAATCTGTGGGCACAAAACAAGCACATAGCACAGAGGAAGCTGTGTCTTCCCCCTGCTGTTCCTTTCCCTAACCCCCCCCCCCCACCACCACCACCACCAGCAGCAACTCCAATGGTCCAGGGAAACCTGCAATCATGGAATCTGAATGCTAGGAGGGGGTGAGGTTGGGTGAGCCTGTCCAAATACTGCCTTTGGGATATTTCGCCTCTTTTTTTTTTTGTTAGCTCCCAACAACAGGTGAGTCTCCAATGCTTTGAAATCTCCTAAGAAGGTTTTTCCCATGTATGTCAACAGCCCATCTCCCCAGAGCTGGTGATGCAGAGAGACCATGTTCTCAACAACCTGGACCACCCACAACCAGCGTCCTTGACCAAGAGGCCCCTCCCGTCTGCTAATTGGGGCTTGGAGAGACGGCCTGAGCAAGGTGGGTGGGGTAGGTGAGCAAGAAAAGGAAGAAGATGGAGAAATAAAAGGGGAGTCGGGCCAAGAGGCACTGCAAAACTTGATCTTTTAGTTCTGCTGTCCTGTCCAGAAATGAATCATCACTATCTGGTGAAAAGATGTTTGAAGATCCTGGAAGAAATTCTGTGTTAAAAATAACAGGCCTTATAGCCAGAGGAAAGGATGTGCAACCCTATAGCGCGGGGACAAGAATTGTCCCCTAGCATCAGAGATCAGAGCCAGCCACGGGTACCTCACCGGAACCGAAACTCTTCCTGCCTTCAAAATCTTTTGGAAAAAATTAGAAAGTGTTGCAACGGGCCTTGTGTTGGGAGCCATGTGTCACTCTGACAGTCGGGAACAGCTCTGACCAGAGAAAGAGACGTGAGGGCAATCAGTGTGGATCCCGTCTTTCCTGTTGCTGCGGCAAGGGTGAGCACAAGTGCGGACTGGCCGGCTCATTTGTGTAGAGATAACAATCACCTCCTCCTCTCGCCCTGTCCTCACGCAACAGGGCAGGTCTCAGCATCAGGGTGAGCCTGCGGGCAACGGCTGGTCGGGCGGCCCAGCTGGTCAGCAGGAAGTAAGAGATGCAGCCCAAGCGAACCCCAAGTCCACGCGCACCCATTTAGGGTGCGGCAGTTTGCAGGGGGGTGGGGGTGGAGGGTGCGCCACGGTCTCCCCCCCCCCCCGGGGCCTCGGGCCTCTGGGAACTCATTGAGGAAATGAGGACAGGGATGTGCCCCTGTGCAGAGGTGTCACCAGGGACAGAGTCTACCCCAGCCCCAGGCTCGAGGCAGGAACTGAGACAAATATGTGTTCAGCTGAGACTGGGGAGGTCCCTCCTCAGCACCTTAGAGCCCTGTCCACCAGAGTCCATGCCACCTGCTGCTCTGGAAGACAGTGGGGGGAGGGGAGGGGAGGGGAGGAGAGCTGGAAAACTCCAAAACTTTCCAGGGGTTGGAAAACCAACAAAAGACAAGTGGTCACACACGTTGGGGGGCTGGGGGGTCGGACAAAGCCCCATGTGATGCTGCACAGCAGACCTTCTCCACGTCCTTCAGGTGCTGGCTTGCTTCTTAAATCTGCAAAAGGAGACGGCATCTTCACTGCCCAGTGGAGCACTCCACCCACACACACATCCTTCAAGGCACACACTGAAAGGTACTATCGCACAGCCCTGGGTGCACCGACTGTGGCCCCTGCCCACCTACTGGGAGAACCTCGACCCCAGAGGGGCAGGAGACAGCCTGCTCCTGTTGTCCGGCGGACCCAACATGCAGTCCTGGCTGGGCCGCTTCGAGCTGGGCCATCCTGAACATTCAGGCTGCGTCACTGTGGACAAGATGTCCGTCTTCTCTCTGTGCCTCCGTTTACTCACCAGAAAAGATGGAATGATACAACCCTGCCCCTGGGGAGGCCTAGGAGGGGAAAAGTTGAGCTCGCGGACATGAATGTAAGCATCGAGCCTGCCCCCTTACACCAACCATCCCCTCTGAGAGCCTCCCCATGTGCCTCTGCGGTCCGTGGAAGGGTGCCGGCCACTTCCCCAGGACTCACACCTTGTTTCCTGAAAGACCAAGGCAGGTCTGGACCTGGTAAACCAAATCTGGCTTCTTCATCTATCCAATGGGCCACGGTTATGAAAGAGGACAGGAAATGAGGGCTCAGTCTGTCAGCTTCAGAGAATCAAAGTGGGGTGGGGGAAATCGGCCTTTTCTGACAGGTGGTCCCATCCCACCGGGAGGCAACTTTTTCTGGGTACCCCTCCGCCCACAGAATGGTCACTCTGAGGCCAGGCCTGGGAGGCCAATCGAGGACAGAGACAGCCACGGGTGAGGAGATAAATGAGAAGGGAAGGTGATCTCACCAACACGAATGGATGACCCATCCATCAATCCAGACGCAAGGCCAGGATTTATGACAAAGTCTTTTCTCCCCGCCCGGAAAATCTTCCATGCGTTAGAATTGGGCATTGTCATCAAAGCCCTCCTGATGGAACCAGAAACAAGTTCAGCCCTGAGCAGCATGGTCTCACTCACACACACAGCAAGATCTACCCTCACGAGACCATTTCGCTGTGGGGACAGCCACTCCAAGCCCTGCAGGTGACCCGTGTGAGGCCCCAAAGGGCAATGGGAAAAAAAAATAATAACAGGGAGTTCAAATCCAAGCTCCACAGCTTAGAAGCCAATGCCTGAGATTGCTCACCTTCGTGAAGGTGTTTTCAGCTTGACGTGAGGTAGGTCCAGGAGCGCCCAGCATGGCCGCCTCCCCACCCCTCCCCCACCCCCAGTTTGGATGCCAGGGGCTCAAACCAGGCTCTGAGCCTCCCAGGGAAGCTTGATGGGCCCCATCAAAGTGCTTGGCAAACCACTTAGGCGTTTCCAGGAAAAAAAGGGAGCCCAGCTTGAGGCCATGGAAAGCACGGTCCCCAATGTTGAGTCAGCCTTGAGTCATGAGCTAAAAACACGCTTTTGCCAATTACAGCTCTCGGCAGCCATAATTAATCCAGGGCTGATGAAAACTGTGTTTTTCACTCAACAGAGGAGGGAATTTCAGGTAATTAGGCATACCCTCACGTATCGGTAATTTGCCTCTTCACATGAGCTCTGACCGCCATGTCCAGGCCTTACCTTCAAAAAAAAAAAAAAAACTTATACCAACATTAACCAACAAGATATGTCTGATTTCAAAAGATTACCCTTCGTCCTTAAGTACTCTGAGTGCAAAATGCTAAATACACAAGCCCTTAATTGGTTTTTTTCCAACCCACCTATGTGAGCGTCTCTCTCTAAGAGAGCCGCTGCTCATGGGCTATGCAGCCACGTTGAACTTGCAGATGATTCTGCTCAGAGCTGATCCCAGAAAAACACACTCTGTGGGCAAAAAAGGTGGACACGTTGTGTTTGGATCCATCATTCATTCAGTCATTTGTTCACCTCACCCCTACAGGGAGCCTGCTATGCACTGGGCTCTGGGCTCCATAAGGAGCTGGAAACCCAACTCGAGAAATTGCAACTCGAGATGGTGGTAGCCTCCGAGACCAAACACTTCCTTGTACAGGTGGGACTCCCAAGGCCTAGACCTGCTCGAGTTCACCAGCAAGTTGGTGGCACAACAAGGAAGTGAAGCTGGGTCTGTGCCTCCCAGTGAGCCCAGGAGCTCACAGAAATCCCAGCCATGCCGCCCCCCTCTGCTGGGCGGTGAAGGCAGCCCCTCCAGCTTCCCCTGGGTACACGGAGATCACCGGATGTGTCTCAAGGTAGGCCAGGTGGCTACTTACAGAACTAGGTCTTTCCCCCCAGGACCCCACCCCTGACTTTCTCCAACATCGAAACCCCCTTTCCTGTTCTTTTAATTTAACAACCTCTACAGAGAAATGGAAATAGAAATCGCAGTCTACGCTGGCTGAGCACCAGCATCTGGGGAGTCAGGGGAAGAGGGGGTGTTGTGGCCCCATTTTACACAGAAGGAAACCAGGGATTTCACCTTGGGAATCCCTCAGGGTCACCCAAGGACTGGAGGCAGCTCTGGGTCTGCACCCAAAGGACGCCCTAACAATCACAGTGTTACTACCACTGACAACCTGTGGGCGCACACTTGTGCTGGCACCGTGCTCTGCCCCAATGGGAACAACTCACCCAATCCTCACAGACCACACAGAGAGAGGAGCAGAGCTCAAACCCGGGCTCTGACGTATAGGGACGCCTCACTGCTGGGTGGCACCACCACATCCAGTCCCAAGCCGGGAGGGCAGGGCTGCAAGCTGGGCGTGTCACTTCTCCTCTAGGAACCCCACATTTCCACCCGTGAAATGAGACCAGGACGCCTCCCTCAGGCTACAGGAGCTGAGAGCACACGGTGAGCATTCGAGGCTTCTCTTTTGGTCTCCACCTCCAAACCCACATCTTGCTGGTCCACGCGTTCCTGGACCTGGATTGGTACATCAGTTCCGCAGACACAACGAACAACAGCTCTTCCGTGAAGGCAAGCAAACACCGTGCTGTGAGCCCACAGGCAGGTGGGCGAGCCGGCCAGCCCCTCCCCTGCGCTGGGCCCGTGGCTCTCTCTTGTGACCAGGGGCCCCAGGTAAGAAGGATCACGCATGTCCCTTCTGCTTTTATCATGCTATGGCTCTAAAATTTCAAAAGTTGTTCTTAAGTTACTTATTTCCTGATTCAATAGGCCAGAGGCATAAATGTATTCACCTCCTCCTTCCCAAAAAATGACATCGGGATAGGGCACCTGGGTGGCCTAGTCGACTGAGCATCTGACTCTTGATTTCGGATCAGGTCGTGATCCCAGAATTCTGGATCAAGCCTTGCATCAGGATCTACACTGAGTATGGAACCTGCTTACGATTCTTTCTCTGTATAAAACTGAAAAAAAAGACAGCAGGAAATCTTTTACTGATCACCTATATGATATGCCTGAAAAATACTCAATGTGTCTTGAACAAATTGATTCATTCACTTCTCTAATTTATGCATTCCCTCACAAATAAGTGAGTCTATGAGTGGATGAATGGACAGACAGATGGACCGACAGATGGACAGATGGATGCATGGGCAGACAGATGGATGGACAGACAGATGAACAGATGGGTGGACGGATGGGTGGATGGATGGATGGATGGATGGATGGACAGGTGGACGGATGGACGGATGGATGGATGGATGGATGGACGGATGGATGGATGGAAGGATGGACAGACGGACCAACAGACAGATAGATGGATGGATGGATGGATGGATGGACGGATGGACAGATGGACAGACGGATGGACAGATGGATGGATGGTTGGACAGACGGACCAATAGACAGATAGATGGATGGATGGATGGATGGATGGATGGATGGATGGACAGGTGGACGGATGGATGGATGGATGGATGGATAGATGGATTGACAGACCAACAGACAGATAGATGGATGGGTGGATGGATGGATGGATGGATGGACGGATGGATGGATGGTTGGACAGATGGATGGATGGATGGATGGATGGATGGATGGACAGACGGATGTCGTATGCTCAGAGCATGGTATTCTGACAGAGGTGCACCCTGCATCAGCCACATGGTCCCTAGGTGGCATTCCCAAAACCACAGGGCACCACCTCTGGCTCTTGCCCTTGAGTACATCTATGAAGGTGTCTGAAGTTTCATTTCTTTTTTACTAAAATGGAGCCTCTAATGCCTATTTGAACCAGGTAGTTGTGCAGATTCAAAGAGCGTGCCTGGCCTGTAAATACATAGTAACCACCACCATTATTGTTTATTTTTTCCTAAATCGCTGTAATTCACAGCAGAGTGATGAGTGCATGTCCGAGAAGGCAGCACTTGAGCACAGTCTGCTTCGGATGGGACTCATAAGTGTGGCTGCAGGAGTAGGGGCCTTCCAGGATGGGGGATGGACAAATGGAGGTGAGGAATCGGGGGTCAGGACAGGAGAGGCTGTGTCCTCAGTCCCTCCACCCAGGGGAACAAGGACGGCTCAGGCCACCACGTGCTTGCCTGCCTGGCCGAGAGGAGCAGCTGGAACAGGAGATGTTTACCCCTTGGTAGGAAGTGGACAGCCCGATCGGACAGAGATGTGAATCCCAAGGTGAGAAGGTGGCATTACCTTGTTAGGCAGGGCAGCCATGAAGGATTTGACTAGGAAAGTACTAGAGAAAACAGCCTTTATGAAGATACATTTCACAGTGGCATGAGCAAAAGATTTGAGGCCTGGAGAGAGGAGGAAGGTACGGGATTCCAGGTCAGAGAAGAAAGGAACACGGAAGCCATGGACGTAGGACGAATGCCTGGATGGAAAAGCGATTGTGGACGTGAACCCAACAGGCCAGCTGTGGGGCAGCGGGGAGGAGACCACTGAGCACCGAGGCCAGGTTCAGGGCTGGCCACGGAGGAGCTGGTTGGGAGGCAGATGCTGAGCTCAGGACGGGCACATGTTTTGAGCCACAGGTGCATCCTCACTACTAGCAGAAATGTGGGACAGTAGCCCCAGATGGAGATCAAGGCTGGAGATGGTGGGGTACGCCATGTGTCCACACCCAGAGCAGGGAGTTGGCATCATCCGCACTCCTGGAGCAGAGCTCAGGACAGCCCAGGGATGGGGAGAGACGGGGTAAGGGAAGCCACCAGGCCAAGTCACGTCAACCTTGACTCGGACACAAACCAGCCTTTCCTTCCACCTCTAAAATAATCTTCATTTCACAATAGAAATGACGTGTGTGCGTGTGTTATGTACTACTTTTGAGACCCTCTGGAGACCTCACGGTCTGGTTGCGAAAAAAAGGGACATCTTTACTTTCCTTCATAGCGGGGGCTTCTCAGCCTTGGCAATGCTGATGGTTTGGACCAGATCATTCTTTGCGGCGAGCTGTGGTGTCCTGGGCACCTGCAGGGCATTGAGCACGCTCCCTACCCCTCAACAAGATGCCAGGAACTACCCCTTCCCCAAGCGTGACAACCAAGAAAGTCTCTGGACATTGCCAAACGTCTCCTAGGGGGATGAGATCACACTGGTCGTATATTAAGGGACGCTTTCAAACTCAGGCCCTCGAACTTCACATCTAACACACGTAAGAGTTTTAAGAAACAGGAATATCACAGTAATCACAGCGAGGGCCTTGCTGTCAGACCCCAGGACAGAGCTGTTGTGCGCTCCCCCGCCGTGAGGCCCTTGGCGAGTGCCTGCAACTTTCTCCTGCCCCGGGGGGTGTTCATCTGTAGGATGGGAAGGTGGAGACGCAAACGTCGCACGAGAGGGGATGCCACCCACACAGTCAGTGGGGAAGGCACGAGGCCTTCCCCAGGAGGGTCTGGGCCACAGAGCTGCTACCGTTTTGTAGCCAGAGTCCCCAGTGACTCAGCTGGCAGGGATGCCACGGCTTACAAAAGCGGGTGGATCCGGGTGAAGCAAGAACTGAAACCTTTAGGAGAGAGGCAGGGAGGCGATCTGAGCCCTTGACTGACTGACGGAGGAGCCTCACTTTCCAGAAATCTGCATTCCCCTGAACGGTCGCACCACACGTGTTAAGGGAGCCTAGGGGCCTCAGTATTCCTGGGTCTGGCTTGTCTGGAGGCAGCCAGCAGGGAGGGTCCGAGGGCCGGTGAGCTTCCAGGCCATTCCACAGAGCTCAGCCAGGCCCCACGAGGCCTCAGGCGGGCGGCCGTCCCGGCCGTCACAGCCCTTCTTGGGAAATTGCTTGGTCAAGAGCACATTGTCCAAGGCAGGTATTTTCAGGCCGATGGGAGTGGGTGTTGGCAGGAAGGAGCTGGCCAGCAAGGGAGTCATAGGATTGCAAAACAAGGAGGCGCCTCAGCAACCGTCCACTTGGCTAGTGGCAAAGCTCAGGCCTGGAGATGGCTCGGAATCCCAGGGACACCCCGAGAGCTCACGTCACGCCCACTCCTCCAATGAGGAAACAGAGACCCGAGAGGCAGAGTTACTCCCCTGAGAGCTCAACCGGTGAGCGACACATTTAGGATTCACACTCACATCGGGGCGTCGGGGGGGGTGCCGTTGGTTAAGCATCTGACTCCTGATCTCCACTCAGGTCATGATCTCATGGTGTGTGGGTTCGAGCCCCCCATCGGGCTCTGTGCTGATGGCATGGAGCCTGCATGGGATTCTGTTTCTCCTTCTCTTTGCGCCTCCCCAGCTTGTGCTCTCTCTCTCTCTCCCTCTCAAAATAAATAAATAAGCTTTAAAAACGTAAAAAAAAAAAAAAAAAAGATTTGCACTCACGTCTTCTTGACTTGCAACCTGGTACCAGTTCCCTGGCACCTCTTTCCACCTGGCTTCATGGAGAGGATTGGCTGGAGCCGTCCCGTGAGCTTGCGCTGAGTGCCGGGCTAAAGCTTGTCTGACGATAAGCCCAACCGTGTAATCCCAGCTGACATCTGACCACCTTCCGCTGGGCGCAAGGGAAAAAGGCACTTGGTTGTATGGCCAGTGGGTCCGGTGGAGACGCGAGGCACATTAGAGTCATTAAAAGTCATTAGGATGGTTGGGCTCTGAGGTCAGAAAAGCAGGATAAACACACTCCGGAGGAACGAGTTCTGCCTTTCCCCGCAGCTGCTCCCACTCGTCCAAGCCCAGCACCCAGACAGCCAGGCTCCCAAGAACCTGCCCCTGGGCTCCTGGGCAGTGCTGCAGGCCCCCCGGGGAACGTCTTCAAAAGCACTTCGGAGATCTGCTTGGTTTTCCATTGTCTGCTACAAACGGACCACCCAAAGGGCCACCCAAAGCAACGTCCTTGGGTCAGCTTCCTGCGGGGAGCCCCCGAGGCCACTTTCCCAACTGCCTCGCCCAGAAGCAGAAGGAGAGATGCACTCTCAAGGCTGTCACCACAACCGTCAGTCACCGAAGGGCAGGGGGACCACGTCTCAGGAACGTGGCTGCTCCCGTCCGCTCATGGCACCAAAACGCCTTGCACCTTGTGCGCAAGATCTTTAATCCTCCCCAACAGCCCTGCAAGGGGAATATCACCCTGATTATGCAAAGGGCCCACCGGAGGACTGTGGCGTGGTGATGACTTGCCCAAGGTCACCGTTAGTAAATTGCAGGGATCTACACACCTGAGCTTACGGCTCCCACAGCCCCAAGCCCCTCTCTCCACCAGCCCTCACACGGAGTAGGTGTTGACTACTTGGTTGCAGAGGAAGTGAAGGAGTGAGTGAAGGAATCGAACACACTTGAGAACTTAAATTGTTTGATTTGCATTTTCAGAAAGGAGTGCCTCCGTGCGGCTGTGAGGAGGCAAACAGACTGTTGATTAAATCGTCTCCTGGATTTTTTGAACTCAGTGAAAACAATCTCTAAATAATTTTGTGACGTTTGGCCCATTCTTAACACAACAAAAACATTTTAGTTAAAGTTGATTCCTAAGCCAACTTTTCTTTCCTAAGAGACAGGGAAGTAATGTTCACTGAGCATATACTATGGGTACA